AATTAAAAATTGAAAAACAAATGGTTACACGAGACATTAACAAAGTTACAAACGTGGTGAGGTTAACTTGTGTGCTTCTTTAGCTAGTACTAGAGAATCACCCTCTTTTTTTTTTTTTTTTCTTTTTTTCTTTATGTCAACAAGTGGTTATATAATACTGGCAGTTGTGCCGACTGTTGAATAGCTTGTAAATATTTAAAATCTCATATTAAGGAAGTATGAGAACTTAAAAAGAGTTTATAAAGATTCATTTTTTATCAACAAATAATTAAATAAAGTGAAATTAAAAGTAAATTATGCCTTACTTCTTTATATATGGTCAAAAGATGGGCACTTGAGCACTTGACATGGGATCTTGATTGTTAGAACATTATTAATTTTTTATTATTTTATTTTATTTTATTAAATTAAAATTTGAAAAAATATGTTTAAAATTCATATATAACTATTGACAATCAAAAGTACCTTTATAAAATGATATCTTTTTTTAAATATATATCCTCACAAATAGTGACTTTTCAGACATTATAAATTTTTATGCAAAATCAAAATTCTATATTGAATTCTGAGAAAATTTTAAATTTTGTTGTATATTGAAAAATTTTTAATCTTTATAAAAAGTGAGATCATGTCTCAAAACTATTCTTTTATTCTTATGCTATTTCATATTTTCTAACAAAGTCTACTAGGCATGTAAAATGCTTGACCTTTCTCTTTTAATTGATATATTCTCAATGCTCTAAAATGCTCGACCTTCTTCTGTTAATTCAAAATATTCTCAGAAGCTCTATTCCTTTCCTTTTCTTCTTTATTAAGTTTTTCTCATTGCCCCACTCCAATTCCAACAATAATATTGAATAAAGTGAATGTACATAATCTCTCTTTTTTTTTTTTTTTTACAATATAATAGTTAGAAAATTAGTATGAGTTAATTGTTAACAACTGAAATTTTCAGATTGGGTGAACATTCTACCCCTTAAATGAGGCGCGTGGCCATCAAGTCATTTTTTTGTGGAATTCATGATGGTGGAATTCATGATGGTAGAATTCATGATGGTGGTAGAACTTAAAACTCTGATGACCGCCTTACTCAAGCACTAAAACTTGGGGTCGAATTATTGGGTTTAAAGGTAGGGTTCGAATGTACATAATCTGGATGAGAGAGTGCAATGACAAAAAGGACAAGGAAAATCAGAAAAATGTAAAAGAATATAAAATTATAAACTTATAATTAATTATATGATAATAAAGTCTACTTATCTTATATTTTACGTGAAAAATTATTTTTAAAATATTTGATTAAGGGACTCAAAAGGAAGCAAAAAAAGATGATGAATAAACCTCCACCAGCAGAACCAACCACCTCACATGAAAAAGGGAAGAGAAAGCCT